ATAATTATCAATGTCTCAGGCTATGGAGAGCTCCGAGCTTGGAACTAATGCTATCATTTACACAGGGGGTTACTTACAATGCACATACTTTATGCAGAGAAACAAAATGTTCAAAAAGAAAATGTAAATGATAACCAAAGGAAAATTACAATAGAGGCAAACAAGTTCACTCTTCTAGCAAAGCTGCTGAGGAAAAATGCCAACGAAAACAGTTTCTACAGCTTTTTAAAAACAGAACAATTCCAAAGTCTAGTTGGTACATAATTCCTCTGGTTTAACAATGGGACTTTTCAATGTTTAAATGGATCAGAAGACGCTGGAATCTGTCTAAAAGTTATTTATTATCCAGAATCGTAATGTTAGATGCTTTCTCCTTTACAGTTTAAGGTCTGTAACATACCTCGTGTTTTGTCTAGAATTTACAATTCCATTATAAGAAATTTGCTTCATGCTGAAATTTGATGTACAAATCTTCAAAGCAGGAGAGGATTGTTTTTTGTATATAAAATCTGACAATGGTGATGTGCTGCAAATGCCTAGCTATGTCCAACCATGGTACGGACTTGATTTCAACCTTCTCTTAATAGTTTCATATTTTTGAAAGTTCAGATACAACACAATTAGCCTTACCTTAATGTGGTATATTGTATTTGCATGGTTATTTTAATGTCAGGAAAAATGAATCCTATGAAGAATAGCAATTCTCCTTTGCTTTTCTTATATATGCCTCCCTTTATCGCTTGTTCTAGTATAATCTCCTGTGACTGGTGCACACTGGCACCTACCGTTCAAAGCAGAGATATCTGAGTGATGCAAGTACCCTGGCTAAGGCTAAAACTTTACTGGAGTAGAGCAATAGGTATTCAGAGATCTATACTCCAGGCTTCTTTCGCCCCTACCACTTTCATCTACTGCACATGCAGTGGAGCACAGAACCACCAGCCCAGCAACATTTCGTTTTTTAAAAGGGCCCAACATTCAAAGTGTTCTGACTAGCTAACATTATGACTCTGATTCTCTCAGGAGGTGCTCAAGACATTGCCGGATCAGCCCCTTAAGTAACAGCCAATAACTCTACAAACAGATTTTCAATTTTGTCCTGAAAGGCTGACATCAGAATAGACACAGTAAATATCACTGCATGACTTGCCCATACGCACCACACAGGCTAAGACTCTTGTCAGTAATGCTGCACTGATAAGACCATTTCTCTTGTGTAACATGGGACAGATGTTAAAGAGAGAAAGAGAGGGAGGGGCATTACCACAAAGAAAGAACAGTGGGATTGAAAGGAAAAACCCAAGGATAACACTGGGGAAAACCACCTGATGTATGAATGCATTGTGCAGGGCCAGACCTAAAGTCAATGCAAGTTTTGCCACACACTTCAGTAAGAGCTGGGTTGGGAATGGTATCATTTCAATACAGTACTCATCAGTGGTGCTGGAACCCTTTTAATAGTGGGGGGTGCTGAAAGTCAGCCCCCTTACCCTTGTCCGTGCCCCCCCCCCCAGCTGGGGCCAGGAGCAGTGCCGTGTCTCCGTGGCGGGGGGGGAGACCTGGATAGGGGTAAGAGGGCAAAGGTTGGGGACAGGCATGGGACAGTTGCAGAGCCCCGGCCACAGGGCCAGCGGCCCGGATCCTGGGAGCAGAGTCCTGAGAGTGGGGGGCCGGGCACATGGCCAGAGACCCCGCGTAAAACCTGAGGGTGCTGCAGCATCCCCCGCACCTCTAGTTCCTGTGGCTATGGTACTCATTAGTGAGATAGCCCTGCATCTCAAAGCAGCCCATTAATAGTAACTCATGAATCATGCTATCTTCTTTTTCCATTCCTTTGGTTTACGTCAGGATATACCCATTCAAAAATTTCTTTAAAAATAGTCTATATGATAATGTAATTTCTAGAACATACACGTCACCACAGATCACTATTATCTTCTATTAGTTCATCTTACCAGGCTGGGCGCAACTGCCCTTACTTGGAATTGACTTTGCCAGCTGCTACTTGTACATGAAACTGCGTTATCTAACACAGCTGACATTAGCTTTCTTGTTGTATAAGCCAAGTAGTCCAGAGCACTCCCTTTTATGTAACAATTTCAGTTCTAATGTTCACATGGCTTTCATTATAAGACATTCTGGAACATATTTGCCCTTCAAGCACGAACTTCTAGGACAAGCAATCGCCAGTAAGGTTTTCCTTTTTTTTTTTTATTGAAATATCCACATTGCAAGGTATTCAATACAGCACTGCTGAGCAAGTGAACTAGATCTTCTTGATCAGGCTTACTTGAGTTGTATTCTCCCCCCAGTTTCCAATAAAATCCCCCAAAGATGGATTTTTAAAATTAGTATATTTTAATAATAGTGGGTTAAGAACAGTTTTGATTCACAACAACATATGGAACATCATTTAAGTACTAATTCTTGCCCTTCGGTTGTTTTGTTTCTTCCTTTTTCTTTTTTTTTTGTACGATCAAGGAAAAGAAAGTTGTTTCTCACTAGTCATGGACTATGAAATACAGAATCAAGTAAAAGAGTTTAATAAAAACATCATGACATTCGCAAAAGTGATAGAATGTTCTGCTAGTTGGCAGAAGCCAAGTATTACGTAGCATTTGGAATATGAACAGGTCTAGTTCACATCCAACTAGCATGTTACATAACCGTCTGCATGAAATTACTGTACTACAGTACAAACCCAGAAATGACTACACTCCTAGCAACCCACATCCCTATTTATTTACATTAATTATTCAATTGCTGTATCACATGAATAAGGCTGCAGACTATGTAAGCTTGGTTAACAGCAAACCAGGACAAATAAAATGGACCACCAGACAGACTTATGCACTGATTCAAAGGGCTCCCCCAGCCCCTTGCATGGAACAAAGTTGCTTACAACACATGTCATCTGCTTCCCTGGAGCAGCAATAAAAATTGTAAAGGTCACATGGGAAAAATCTGCCACCCACCACAGGAGCTCTGAACTGAAAAAGCACCAGCCGCTGCCCAGCCTGCACTGGCTCCCCTGCCAAATTACTGCCACCTGGCAACCAGCCAAACAATTCCACATTTCTGATGTGTGATAAATAACAGCAAGAGTTACAAGCTGTTGGTTTTATTTACCAGTAATTGCTTCTCAGCATTGTTACAAAAGAAACAAGCTAGGCATGAGGGCTTGTATCACAAGGTGTGCTACTCCCTCTTTGTTCTTATTTGCCATTTCTTCAAACTACTGATTGGCTCTCATTTACTCCTCTTCAAATTTGCAAAGTACATCTTCCCATTCTCATAGAAGTCACCCTCCTTCAGAGCTCTCTCATCCATTCCCATTAAAGCCAAACCTATACTTAAGAGACCACTTGAATCTTTCTAATTTCCTCCTCCTAAGAAATATTGTTCCTCTAATCCCACAGAGTCCATCCTTCCCTCTAATAGGCTTCTTGATTCTTCATCAATAACTCCACTCAAACCATGCATCCTAATCTCTCTTGATCACACCAGCTCTCTTCTTCCCAGGAGATTTCTGCTCTAAGGGAGGTCTCAGCTCTCACTAGGTCCCAAATCAGGAAAGCACTTAGGCATGTGCTTAGTCCATCCCTCTTCAGAAAAGTGCAGACTTAAGAGCTTTCCTATATAGGGATGCTTTCATGAGTCATTTTTAACAGAAAGGAAACTCAAAGGAAAACAGTACGGTACATAATTAGTAAGAGTCATTCTTATATTCCCTTCGCCTACCACAAGCTTCAGGGTTAGTTAGAAGGAAGTATATCTGTTTCAATTTCTGTCCAATGATCTTTTATTTTTAGCTATTGTTGTAACAATATCTACATCTAGAGTAAAAATATAACACAGCATTAAGGCATAATAAATAAATGAAAATGCAATGAGATGTGGGGGTAGCTGCATAGCATGGATACTACAGGTATCTATGTTAGGGTCTGATCTTACTTACATCTTCATTAATGATCTGGGAGGTAGAATGAACAGCATGTTAATGAAATTTGCAGATGATGCTAAAGTGGGTAGAGTTGCAAACACCAGGCGGGATAGAGAGACAACAATACAGGAAACTAAAGAGGTTAGAAATATAGACAGAAAATAACAAAAATGAGATTCCACAAGGAAAAATGTAAGATAAGGAAAAATAATCTGGAACACGTACACTAAATGGGAGGGAGAAACACGGGAATCAGTAATTCTGACAGAGAGCTAGGAGTGAAGTTTCTAGGCAACAACTAAAAGGGGAAGAGGGAAATACAGTGAGAGTCCACCAGTATCCAAGTTTAAACACCAAAGAGGGAGGGGAATTATTCAGACTGGTAGACACAGGCATAGCTTGGAGTGATGGGCTGAAATTTTAGGCTACCTAGCAATCTGCAAATGTATCTCCACTGCTATGACAATCAATAAACCACCCCCCAAACACACCTTTCAAGATCTATGAGTCCTACACAAGCCTCTCTCTCATACAGACAGATGGTAATTCCCCTCTGAACAGGCACGTCTGGAAGTAAGGCATTTTCTCATTTTCCTGCACTGGCTTCCTGCAATAGCAGGAAAGTTGCCACTACATGGCTGCTAACTTTCAATCTGGTTTCCAGGGCAGTGCAACTACGTGCTGTCTCTTACTCAGGGCTTGTGGCAAAGCTGCCATTGAGCTTGTACAGTATGAGTTGTTTATAATGAATATTATCTAATGAACGAAATTATGTAATGAAATTATGTAATCAACATGAAAATCAAGTTCATCCGCTAACTGAAAAATTTACCAGTCTGATGTTAAATCAAACCCCACGCCCACAAGCTTCCAATCTTTTTACATCTCAGAGGATTCACCCACCCCACTGGCTGCTGAGGTGATCGTGACAGTAAACAATAATCTCAGACTTAATTAGAGCCTGTTCACACATTTCTGGCATCATCCCCAACATTATGTTAAAATATTAAGTCCTTCCCACACAGAGAAACCAACAAAAAGGAGGAGGAGTAAATACCTCAAATAGAAGGGTGACATGGGCCGCTCATCTTCTTGGGAACTAAAAATAAAACACATTTTTGAAGTTAGTATGTAGTTCTGTTCTTTATTTGCAAGTTAATTTGTAGCAAAACATTTGCTCTTTCAAAAACAAGATAAAAATGAAACGCCATGTGTCTGGCCCAGAGGCTATATTTAATGTGTGTATTTTGTTCTACAATAACTTATGGAAGGGAACTTTAAATTACAGTCCTCAAAGTCATGAAATCCCAACTAATTTTCCAGTGATCATGAATGTGGAACAATCTGCTGTAGAACCGTCAGGAGTCACTGCAATTCTGCAGCACTTCAGGGACTATTCCCATAGCAACAATATAGAAATTCTGCCAACAGAATAACTGTGCCTTTTGCTTCGCCCTGTTCCAGAATTGAATAACCTGCTAGTAAAGGTAAACAGAAAAGCTTCTGTTAAACAAGGAAGATTATTTAAAAACATTTAAGATGCCAATTTAGTAACTAAGTATGCACAGAGTGAAAAACTCCAGGCCTGATTCACCATGCAATATGCTGGTTTTACTCTACTCAAATGAAACTGAGTTGCAGTGGTATAAAACTGGAGTGGCACAGTGGTGAGTCAGGCCTGAATAAAACTCAATCATTTTTAAAATAAATATAGATGAAAAAAAGCAGTTCCTCCTTGACTTGAGTCCACTGAGTCCCTGATTTGAGATTACTGGCCAAATTCAGCCCAGGTCCGACTCCATTGATTGCAGGGCTGTGTTGACAATTAGAATCAATTTGGCACTAACGGATTCTCCTCTCTGAAGTGTTGTTCAGTGTTTTGCCTTTGTATTGTTTAAAGGCCCGTTTGTTCTAGCGCCCTGATCCTACTTACATTTAGACATGTTCTTAATTTTCCTGCTGCGAATAGTTCCCCTCAAGTCAATAGGACTACTCACAACAGTAAAGTTAAGCACTTAAGTGTTTGTAGGATCAGGGCCTAGAAGTCTAATTGTGTCAGGGAACAATTAGAACCCCCAGTCAAGGAACTGTGTTGCAGTCTGGGTCATACCTAGTCAAGACACTGAACAGCAATTCAGTGTTCCCACTTCAGGAGTGGGATCTCCAGATTCTAAAGCAGATTGAACAGTGCAGGAAAATACGGTTTCTGGTATTATCAACTCCTATCCACAGATTGTGACACCCTCCTCCAACACGGTTATATGATCATGTCCTAGCCACCAGACAAACCCAGTGTTAGAACACAAACTTCCCTAATCAAGCCATACAAAAATACATGTTATGGTCAGATGCGTAGGGCAGATAGACACTTTGATTGTAAGTCTTTGGGGCAAGAAACTTGCCTTACTCTACATGCATATAGGACATGATCCAAAGCCCACTGAAATCAGTGGTAGGCTTTCCAATGAATTGAAGTGGGCACAAGACCAGACTGGGCAGGAACAGGCACAGGAAACAGGACCAAGAGTAGCTGCAGCCTGGAATGTGTTGAGCAGCCAAGCAAGCTTTGGCTGCTGCTGGGTCAAGTAGTAGCTTAGCTACACCCCTCACCCGGTGAGGAAGAGCCGTCAACCAGGCAGCCCCTGCCAGCTGTGCCCAGTGTGTTGCCAGGAGACTGATCCTGCTGCAGCTGGCTCCCTGACACTTAAAATGTCATCAGCTCTTGAGAGGGAAATACAGCATCTTGGACTTCGGTCTTATCAGATAAATCAAGAGGGAAACTGATTTTGTTATATGAAAAGTACTGCTAATGTTTACATTTACACAAGGCTGGCCTAACACTGCTTACACTGAGTCAATTGAGTCTGATTTAATTGAAGTCAGGGTAAGCTCCCACTGGCTTTAATAGGAGCAGAGCTAGGCCATAACTGAGGACTAGCAAAACACCTACCCCAACTCCATGACTGGTTTGAGATGTTAGCGTAATTTCGTACATTTACAAAAGTATCTTGGTATATATCTTTAAGAACAGAATAAAAGTGAAAAGAAAGTCTCTGTGGATTTGTTGGTATAGGGCCAAATACTGTACTCTGACATACATCAGCAACTCCCCGGGGAGTCAAACGGAAGCTGTCTGAGCATCCAAGAGTTGAACTTGACCCAGAGCCAGCCACATACAGCTTTCGTAAGCAAAATCTGCCTCGGGCTGTATTTACTGACTCTAGCCAATGCAATTACAGCCCCACCATAACCAACACCAAAACAAAACAACAGAATGAAGTCAAGCCAGCATAGAGAGAGTACTACAAGCATGTTTCTGCATTATCCTCTTCATCCCCCACTGAAGTGCAAGTAAGGGAAATGTCTAGACAAGATGACAGAGATCGGTGCTCACTAGATGGTAAATAAACTTCATGATGAAATGACAGCTCCGTTCTCTGAGCAAACACCTGTGTTTTTAGGTTCCTCAGTGGTCTAGAATTCTCAGGAAACACAAAATACCACCGAGAAGGGAATGGAGGCTACTGCTGAAGTTATGAGATCTGGCGAAACCCAGGATGACTCCTCTGTCGTGTAACACCAATGACTCTGCAGCATTCCCATTCCTCTAACCCAGTGGTCCTCAACCTTTTGTGGCCAGTAGCACATTCATGTTTTCAGAAGAGTGTGGCGGGCGCCAACAATTTTTCAAGGCTTATTTTGTATTTGTACATTAAATAATACGAAAAACATCATATTTAATATTACATAATATATGAATCCAGAGAGGAGAAGCCGGAGAGAAGCCACGAGGACAGAGAACACTGGCACCCGCAGCCCCAGAGTACTCTGTCCCCAGCAGCCGAGGGGCTCCGGCTTCTCCCCCCTACTGGGCACTAGGCGGGCTCCGCGCCTGCCGGGGACAGAGAACACCGGCGCCCGCAGCCCCGGAGTTCCCTGTCCCCGGCAGGTGCGGGGCCGTGGCTTCTCTCCGGCTTAAGCCGCGGCCCCGCATCTGCCTGGTACTGAGAACACCAGTGCCCGCAGCCTGCAGCCCCGGAATTCTCTGTCCCCGTCAGGCATGGGGCCGCAGCTTCTCTCCCCTGCTGGGCACTAGGCGGGCCCCGCGCCTGCCGGGAACAGAGAACACCGTACCCGCAGCCTGAGTTCTCTGTCCCCGTCAGGTGCAGGGCTGCGGCTTCTCTCCCCTGCTGGGCACTAGGCGGGCGCACATAAATGCCCCGGTGTGCGCCATGGCGCCCGTGGGCACCGCGTTGGGGACCACTGGTCTAACTGATCCAACAATTCAACCACCCGTGGAAATTTTGTTGTTCATTTCCATAGATTAGTTGTACATTGCTTGGGCAAGATTATGTTCGGCTTTATATGGGTGAGCAAGGCTTAGGGAGTGGGGGAAAGAGAGGGTAGGTGCAGTGGTTCCCCCATCTCCTGCACTGGGTTGTTTAGCTGTTCCCATAAAGGGGAGCACACAATGCACTTTTCGGAGGTGCTGTGTAATCAGGCTCCCCGTGCTAACTGTGTCAAGTCACTTAGTTAGCATCTCTGTGTTTAAAGTGGGAATAACACCACCTCCCAGGAGTGCTGAGAGCAATAGTTAGTGCTTGTAGAGTACTCTGAAGAATTAAAGAGTCATGTAAGTGCCAATTATTATTATTATTATTGCTTTGTAGAAGACAAACTACAGCATATGTGTACATAACACATTCTACAAAGACAAGCATTTATAACAGAAAGAAGCTAATCACAACAACATATGTAGTCCTTATGTGTGTATATTTGCCTCTTTATAATCTGTGGCACATTCTTTATTAAATCAATAAAGAAGTTTCTTATGATTCATAAGGCCAGAGGCAGAGTTTCCATCATTTACTCATTACACTTCAATAACATAACAGCTTTACTTATAGCCTGAATGCCAATACAGTCCCTATGGTCTATGCAGAACATAAAAAAATAAAGCCGAAGTGCAGAACAATCCACAGTGCTGTCAGAACTTCTAGACATCAGTGTAATTTGGTATGACAACATAAAATGCCTTTCTGTACAGAACAGACATCAACTTCGTCGCAACCACACACACTGTCTTTCCCTATCTTAGGGCTACCAGTTAGTTCCCAGTCACAGAAAACATTACAATGACATTAAAAGGTCAAAATAACTTTCTTATATAGATATCCACTCTAGATTTTTTGATGGGTTTGTTGGAGTGGTAGCATTAGTAGAAGAAGTTGCTGTTTGTTTCAGTTATCATATTTTCATTTGATTGCAAGTAAAATCATTGTATTAGGAGTTCCATTAAACAAGTTTTATACATACACAAATGAATATTCACCACTAGATATTTTTGCAAAGTAAACCAGAAGAAAAACTATTCTGACAGCATTAGTCAGAGGGGGAAAAAAGAACCATTTCATTTAGCTTACAGAGTTATGAAATTTTACAGGCTAAATAATAACTTTAAATGCTTTATAACTGTCTATACCCAGCAGCAGTAACATACAGCCACCTCTGGGATGAATGGTGGCAACTTATGTCACAACACCATCACAGGGAGAGGGGAAGACTTTGGACAGGAACACTGGGTTTTACCCTAACCTTACAAAGTATGCTATGGTGCTTTGATATCCACGAAGAGCAGGTTCTCTCCGTTTTTAAGATCTATTCCAAAAAGCACATCCTCCCCCGATAAGTGCATGTTAGTCACTTGATCTACTGTGCACTGGAAGGTTGAAGACCTGTATAAACCATGCACAGATTTGAACCACTGGTTCCATGTAACCTAGGCATTCCCAAAATCGGATGTTAGACCACCAAGCCCCCTGGAAATCCAAATAAAATACCCATTTTTAAATTGAAAACTACATTTTGTAGCCTGCTGCTGTAAGGTAACACCTTGTTTACACAAACGCACAAACTGTAGTACGAGCAGAATTGGGAGCATCATACAAGAGCTTTTAAACCAATTTCTACCTACTTTAATGCTTTGAAAAATCAGATGCGAGATATAAAAAACAAACAAATAAGCAATATGATTTAAACCATAAATGGTTATCTTACAGTCATTACGCCATAAAAGTAGGATGGTAATGGATTTAAAAG